TCTCTTAATACTGGCCAATGCACTGTTCGTCTATCAGACAGATTCTGATTCTCTAGAACAGAGTGAGACAGCAGCAAAAATATGTTTAAAATGAAAGTGACAAGCAAAGGAGTGACTTGCATAGGAATGACATCAGTTCTTTGTAATCTTGTGCGCTTTGTGCTGCATATTTAGATACCCTACTTAAAGGAAGGTGTTCTGGGCAGCATGGATTTCAAGTGTGCTGTTTGTTATTTTTAGAGGAAGCAGTGCCAAGTTCAGTGAGGTACTAAAAGTAATTGTGCAACTTCTGCCATTTTACAGTTAACATGATTGTGTGTTGTTCTTTTTTGAAGCAACTGTTAGACATTTTAATTAACCCATTCTCTTCACTTGGCATTTGCTAAAAAATACAAGAAAATTGAAACATGTTTGGTTTCTTTCTAGTCTGCAAAGGGACTAGAGTTAGGGAACAGAAGGAAGTCACATAGCTTCACTCTCCTGAGACCTTTATGTGCACATGTAAACTGAGAAATCCTACACTTTGAAAAGCAGGACAGCACATACCCTTGTGGACAGGCTGTCTAAACATGTGGTTCAGATTGTTCAAATGAAACATGGACATGGTCACCCATGAGACCTTTGTGGGTTTGCTACTCCTGTGGCTGCAGGTAGGTTATGTTGATTTAAGGCTCAGTATCTTTATTTCCATTGAATGCTTCCTGTCAATCTCTAGTGTTATGTAAGTGAGAATATGTGTGTGTGCTAATCATCATTGATTTGTTTTGCAAATTTCTGGCTTGTGAGTCACTTGCTTACTTTTTTGTAACTGATATCTGAAATTGAGGTGAATTGTCAGGATGCCCTCCTGGCAGGAACAACCTATCTATGGCTGTGTCAGCATTTCTAACACCCAATTCATGCATTCATGATGTTTTGAATATTCCTCTAGTGTCAGTTGGATTTTGATGCATCGTGGCATGCTCCTCCTTTATGATTATTCACCAACACTGGTATTATTTATTGGCTGCATAATTAATAAAAATAGTGGTGATTGCTACATAAAAGTGAGTAACTTGAAGAGTATTTTCCCGTCAAAATTTGCACTTGAAAAGGTTGAGGTTGTAAATTCTTTTCAGGGTTTCTCAGTTGCAAGTCTTGCAGTGTTAATTCTCTAATGACTTGGAGAAATTTCAATAAGTATATGAGATTGTTTCCGTTTACAGTGCATTCTTCTGCGTAGGCGTTAGTGTCTCCATTAGTGAGAGAAGGCTACTGAGCTACATTTTTTGATATTTCCTCCTAAAAGAAGTTGCAGTTCTGTATGGACTTGCAGTCCTAGTGAAGAGTTTGCAACCCAGTAAAAGGGAACAGTAGGACTTTAGGCCACTTTTGCATGCTTGTGATTTTGGTTTGTCAGGAGCTGTGTACTGTCAACACTGAAGCTATTCCCTAGCTTAATGTGCGGGTTGTTGTGGGCCCTGGGTTATCACCTATAACCTAATACAAGCAGATAGCCCCAGTGTTCGCCCTAGTGTCCTTTGAAAACAGTCTTCTAACTGTCTTATGTCAGGTGCTGGAGGGCTCTCCCACAGCACCGTCTGCTTGGCAGTAACTTATGATGACTCTCTTTACTTCAGTTCTCTTTACACGGGCAAAAGAAGTCAGAGAATTTTTTCCAAGAAAGTACAAACGTCTTTTTTCCATCTGTTGGGGTGTTTTTCGGTGGGAGAAGACCCTTAGACCACCCCGAACCTTGCGTTTGAGGAGTGGAAAATAGTGTAAAGTATTGGACTGATGCACTTGGGAGACTTCAGACTTGCAGAGTGTTGACATATTTTGGCGCGTTAAGTACTGTTGGTTCTACCAGTATCACTTGTCATTTGTAATCGCTTGCATATTCTTCATAGTTTACCTAATAAATATGCATAATAGAAAACATTTCACTGAAAGCATCTTGTTACTATGACAGATTATTTGTTTTGCTTTGTCAGAAAACTCTACAAGCGTTATGCATTCCTCCGCTGTGATGATGAGAAAGAACAATTCTTATATCATCTCCTGTCATTCAATGCTGTTGATTACTTTTGCTTTACCAATGTTTTCACAACGATCTGTAAGTATTTGCTTTCCCTGGAGCTCTGATTTCCAGATTTGGTTGAGGCCTTATCCAAAATTCTAAACAGCTCTGACCAACATGCCTTAATGTAATTGTTCTGCTTTCTTCCTGGTATCCATCTGTGTATGCTGTATCACTGTTTCTGTGATCCTCTCTGGTGGGCACTAGTGGCGCTCTCTGTGTCACTAAAGGCCTTTGTTTCTAACTTGGTAAAATATGGGCAGCTTTAATCCTTTAGTTGGATCTCCCCCCTTTAGTTGGGGGAGAGTTCTCAACAGAAAATTTTGCGGTGGGCTTGTTTGCATCATGCTAAAGAAGAACAGTATGAATTGTTCATTGTCAAGGTAAGAATATTAACTTAACACATGCTAGGAATTAAAAAGAAAACAAAAAACTTTCCCCTTTTTGTGCTCAGCCTACTTTGCTGCATGCCTGTCTCTGAGTTTGGGATAACAATGAAATGCCCATTGAGGGCTGCATCAGAACTCTGCGACACATAGAAGTACTTTATTTTTTTTCCTTCCTTTTTTTTTTTTTTTTTTTAAAGGTGCCCTAGAGAAACTTTTAGCCTGTTGTTGCTGATGCTTAAGTGTTTTAGAGTTCTCATGCATTTGTGTGCCTGCTGCCCCAGGACCTCGCTAGTGAGGCAGGATAAGGACAGACTTCAGCAAGGCTTATAAAATTGGGGGTGGGGTTGTGTGAAAGGACCCCTCTGGCCCCATGGTAGGGGCTACTCTTGATGGTATGTTATGATCCATATTTGTGTGTATGAAAGACAAAGCAAGCAGACATCTAAGCAAAATAGTTTTTGGTCTTCTTGTGGGCAAGTTCTGGACAATGCTAAAATCTGGTGTGCTGGATGCAGTTAAATTGTCACTTACTTTAAGACTATCAGCACAGAAAATAAAAAGGGAAACATTTTAATTCATTCTTAAATGCTACGAGCATCAAGCTTTTAAGAAAATCCAACCACCAAATGCTTTCTTGAGGGCACTGACAGCTGAGGAGACTTTGAGGGAGAAATGTATTAAACGTCTCAGCTGAAAAGCCCTGACTATAATCCATTTATGCAGTATAAAAGAAGGGCAGATCGCCAAGAAACACAATGACCATTCAGATAATTGGATTTTGTTATAAAAGTTTGGTTAATAGGAGGCTGTGCATGAGATGCTAGGCAATTGAAGAGCACATGCATTTCCTCAGGAGCACATGCCTCCTGAGTCGGGGAAGGGGCTGTAACTCAGTTGATACTATGATGAATTAGTCACTAGTAAACCAGGGTTGAGCATGTGTGTGGTGGCAGTTAGAGGGGAAAAAAGTTGTTTGTTCTTTTTAAAATCAGGAACTCTTACAGTTAGCATAACTAAGAGCAACATGGTATAGAGAAACTTGCAACATTATAATGTATTTTCACTGAATTTGTTCAGCCACAGTAGTGAATGCTGCTGCAAGCAAGCCTTGCAAATAAAGGCTTCGGTTAGTAATTGAATGGGAATTGGTGTTAGTTGTGTAGTGTGCATACATGCACACACAAAAGCAGGCAGTTAGGAGTTGAGCATTGAGTTGCATGCTGAGCTACAATGTAGTCCTGGATACATGAATATTCTGTCTTTACTTCCTTGCCTCTAAGCTGGGAACAAGTAATCATCTTCATGACATGTTTTGAGGCTGGTAAATGAAAAATTATTATATGAAGGCATTATTCCATCCATATTTCTTTTTTCATCTGACAGCGTTTTGCTGTCAGCTCTGCTTCTTAATGACTGCTATGTGTGCACTTCCTGGTTGTCAATCAGTGCTTAGTGTGCAAATGTTAGCATGATTAAATAGCAGCTCTGATGTTGTTTTAACATTTCATGGTACTGCAGTATTATTTTATGACTTATCTTTTTCCCCCCTCTCTTCGTTAAAGAGGTTACATAATTATCCTTCTTCATTTTTTGAAGTGTTATTTCTTCTTGTGTTCGCAGTGATACCATACCATATATTGATTGTTCCTAGCAAGAAACTTGGTGGCTCAATGTTTACAGCCAATCCTTGGATCTGTATCTCAGGAGAACTGGGTGAAACAGGAGTCCTGCAGATTCCCAGGAATATATTAGAAATGACTTTTGAGGTTTGTATTGCTTGATACAAAAAATGCTTTGGATGTTCTGTTTGTTCGGTTTTAAATTCTCCCCTTGCTGTACCACTTTGCCATACATTTCATATCTTCAGTCTATGTGGTTAGTCGCAAATACTTCCTGTGCCTGTACATAGCAAATTTAATCTATATTTAATAACATGCAGAGCAAAATGACTGGCAAATCCTTAGTGCAAGGATGGACAAGACTGTCTTTATATTACAGCTTCGTGCTGTAATGGTGGGAGGTGTCATATCCTCTTCTGTTGGAAACAAGGAAATGATTCTGATTTTTGTGTGTGTGTGCGCGCGTTGGGTAAAATTTGATTGAAAAATCTAGTTCAACTGATGTACTCTCTGCTGATCAAAATAGTATTTAACAAAACAAAGCAAACAAACAAAAACAAATAAAGCAACCTACCCCAAAAAAGCCCAGAATCAATCATGCAGTCAGCAAAGGAGAACCACGTTTCTGATTCCCTGTCTGAGCATGTTCTCTAATAGTTTACTCCTCTAACATACTGCTCTCTTTCAGTTTACTCTGATAAACTCTTCTTTTTTTAATTTGCAGTGCCAGAACCTGGGAAAACTGACAACAGTGCAAATAGGACATGATAATTCAGGGCTGTATGCCAAATGGCTAGTGGAATATGTTATGGTCAGAAATGAAATAACAGGGCATACTTACAAGTAAGTATCATCCTGACATTTCACGTTGGGTAAGTAGAATTTCTGCAGGGAGCTGGCACAGTAGGGCTTGTTTGATTAGAAAGGTCTTATCTCCTGGAACTCTACAGCTGCCACTACCTGAAGCATTAGAAAGGTCATTTGGCTTCTAGCATTAAACAAGTCGTGACTCTTACAAAATTAAACAGAGTTTTCAGTTTGCAGATTCTCATGTCTAGCCTCCAAACATTGGTGGAGAAGATGAGTTGACTGTTACGCATCTTAAAAATAATCTACCTTAAGCCCAAGGAAGAAATAGCAAGTTAGAGCTTGCTGCTTACCGAATATGCATGGTATTTTATATTAAGGCTGAGTGCTCTAGGTGTTATAGAGAGACCTTTGGACACAAGTTGGAACACAAGGGCTTATAAGTGTTAGAAACCTGTGTTTGCATAGTGAAAGTAAAGGAACGAGATTTACAGTAAGAATTTATTTGTGTTAGGTACAGTGTAGTTTGATGCCCGTTCCTTTGTTTAGAGAAACTGTCAGGCTCGTGTTGATGCAAACTGATGGGTAAGTCCACTCAGTTGTCCATGCCAGTTTGTTTGTAATTAAATGAAGAGGCAAGATTCTGTTTTTGGATACTGTTCAGTTTTCTGATTAAGCTGATTAAGCTGACATCACCATTGGTTCATAGAAAGTGATAATGAGCAAGTGAGCACATGTGCTTTCTAGTGTCTGATTTAATACCCCAATTTCAATAGATGTATTGGTATTTTGGCATTTAAGTATGTTTCAGGGTTTTTTTGTGGCTGGCCTGCTATGTAGCGTATTCAGTGAAAGCATAGGTGTATTTCTCCAACCATCTATAGTGTGTAGTGGGTCTTCCCCTTCTACCTCTTTTTCTTCTGCAGCCCTGAAATCATGTGCTACATATAGGATGCAAGACAAAATCCACCACTGTTTGCTTTGCGGATCATCTAGTGAGACATTTAGCACAAACCTGGAACTGAAAAGCTGTTTTACTTTTGCTCCCTCTGCTGGCAAAAGGCAAAACCAAGGCTTTGTTTATTTGTTGCTAGATGAATGAAGTATTTCTAACAGCTATACTAGCAGAATTTGGGTATTACGCAATTGCAGTTGAAAGTCTTTGGCATGGAATTGAATCTGGGTTGAAGGACTTGATCCAAATATCTCCTTTTTGTTCTAAGGTTTCCCTGTGGAAGGTGGCTTGGAAAGGGAATGGATGATGGCAGCTTAGAGAGGATCCTGGTGGGAGAGTTGCTGACTTCCCACAGTGAGGTTGATGAGCGGCAGTGCCGAACCCCTCCTTTGCAGCAGTCACCAAGCATGATCAGAAGATTTGTCACTATATCGCCAAACAATAAGCCAAGTGAGTGGTGGGGGATGTTTTATCTTGTATGTTCTGCATCATCACCTGAGGAGAGCTGCTTGCCAACAGAACTGTAGGTTTTCTTATATTTTAGAACTGTAGCTTGGAGAGGACCTGTGAAACTCACTTAGCCCAACCCCCTGCTCAAAGTCCAGCTAACGTCCGAGTTACAATCCTGAGCAACCTGTTCTATCTACTCAAGTTTTGAAAGTCTCCAAGGATGGAAGGAAGATGCCTCTGGACTCCTGGTCCAGTGCTTAGCTTGGTGTTTTCTGTATTCTTGTCCTTCATCTGTGGAATGAATGCTATGGAGGAAGGTAGAAATTTGCTGTCCTGTCTCTGTCTGTCCTTCATGGATGAGAAAGCTTGCTAGTGGTTTCTATTCATGGACTTTAGTTTTCCAAGATCACTGTTCTGGGGTTCTGTTATTCCTGATAAAGTAGGTGGCTACTTTGCTCCTAAGCATGCTTGGGTTTACAGTGAAACTATCATCGGAAGTATTTCCAGGATGCCCAGATTTGGTGGTCCTAATCAAAGCATGTCTCCTTTCCTTAGGTTTGGGCCCTGGTCTGAAAATGCATATAATATGTAAAAAGCCTTTCCACCTGTTGTTGTGTTGAAACATCACAGTGTTAACTTCCATATAAAACCAAACCATCTCCATTTCTACCTCCTCCACAGTAAATAAAAGTAGAATTGGATTTCTATTACCCACAGTCCAGCACCTTTTCACTAACAGTATAGGTTATACTGGTTCATACTCCTCTTCCTTTTTTGTGTATGCCTTATCCCTCATGCACAGGTACAATTTCTAAAGCTGTTACAGAGTGACTGGATATATTTTTCTATTTTGCAGAGTTAAATACTGGTCAGATACAAGAAGCTATTGGTGAAGCTGTCAATGGTATTGTCAAGCATTTCCACAAGCCAGAGAAGGAGGTGAGGAGTTTTGTTGTCTGTGTGGTGGCACTCCTGTCTTAAAACTCTTATTAGTAAGCATTGTAGAATATATAACAGAAATAACTAAACTGAATGAATAACCATCTCTCTGAAAATTCTTTAAGTGGAGCAAAAATGAGATACTGAGACTACACTGGCATAGTACATCTTCAAGTACCTCAGTTTTGCTGCTAAATGGAGCATTCTGTTAATTTAAATGTTAACATTCTGTTACTGGAAATGGTGTTATTAGTCAAATTCTGCCAAGGATTCTACCTGTACCACTGTCAAGAGTGTTGCCTCCTGTTTAGTTTGTTCTGGATTAACTGACATTTTACATCTACATTGAGTACTGGGTAGGTTTTTTATGCCTGTTTTGCGTTATCTTTGCTACTTAAAACATGGAAACCCATGGGCCACTTTAAAAAACCAAAAGAAACAGAAGACCTTCACCCAAACACCCACCCCCATCCCCCTGCAAGTGAAGCAGAAGTGCCTCTCAAAGACTCTGGTACACTTCTACATGTAATCATCTTAACCGACACAGCAGTTATTTCCTGAAACAAACATAAGAAGCATGCCTCTGTCAAAGCATCAAAATCCAGCCCTTGTGAGCAGGATGGTGTAAAGCAGTGCTGGCTCCTGTATGGATATCTCTTGAAAGTAATTAATTTTTTACAAATAGGTCCTCCAATTCCTTCTGCACCTATCTTTTCTAAGTTCAGTATAGCATGGCAAATTCATATACAGTATAATTCTGGTTGATGGTCGCATTTACACAATAGTCTCAAGTGGTCATGCACTGGTTTTGCAAAATAGAATTTACTGTCATGTTCTAAAGAAGAATTTGGGTTTTTTCTGAGGTTTAAAAATTGCATTAAATGTTGTTTTGGCTGATAAGCAAACAGTCTGAGGCACCTGCTACAATGGACCTGTGATTTTTATTACTTAGTAAAAGAGGAAAATACTTTCTTAATTTTCTGTACAGTGGTTATTATTATAGATAAAAGTGCTCATGATCTTTATCTTGGCCTTTTTGTGGCTTCATTTGATGACAACGAGGCCCTGGCCTTGTTCTTAGAGAGGTCAGCAAATTCTTGAATGCTCAGGACTTGTGAGAACTGGGCCATCCTGTCTGGAGTCACTGTTTGACAGTAGACTGTAACTTGGGGCATCTATTTATTTAAAAACTGGTTTCAGTAATAGATGCATGAGACACTTTTGTGTCCCAAGCTTCCAAAGTGAGATAATAAGTGTGTGTGCTTTCTGTGTGTGCTTGGCAGAGAGGCAGTCTGACGCTGTTGCTGTGTGGAGAAAGTGGACTTGTTTCAGCTCTTGAGCAAGTGTTTCAGCATGGATTTAAATCACCGAGACTCTTCAAAAATGTCTTTATTTGGGACTTTTTAGGTAAGTGGGAGGAAGACATACCAGAGCCTGCTTGTGTCTTTGAAATATATCCATCCATGTGCCTTTTCATTGCCACTGTGTCTCAGCTGGTGTGAACACCATACTTCTTGGAGGCATCTCGGCAGCATCTCCTTGTATCATCGTTTTACTGTAGCATCTCAAAATTCAGTAGATACTAGAATCTCTTTAGCACTGTTCTCAGGGAAGGAGGTGGAATCCCAGTTTTACACATGGGAACGCAGGACTGAATCAAACAGAAAAAAACAATTTCTAGACATAATCATTCAGAAAATTCACGGATGAGCTTTGAATCTAGGTCTTTCAACTTTAACTGTCCCCTCCATGACGCAGACACTCATCCTAATTTGCCAATGGGCAATATATGGGCATCAGGTAGCGTTATGGACTTGTAAGCATGCTTATGGGGAAAGCATTATACTGAGGTGGTATTAAATTTAATAATCTAAATTTGGAGGTCATAGTGCCTAATTATTTTATTCCAAGAACAGAAGAATGATATTTCAGGTATTTTAGGACTGCAGTATGCACTGATGAAACTTCATTATCTCCCACCATTCTTTTAAGAAAAAGCACAAACATACTATGAGACCCTTGAGCAGAATGATATGGTCCCAGAAGAGAACTGGCAGACAAGGGCCAGGAATTTCTGTCGCTTTATCACTGCTATCAACAACACCCCTAGAAACGTTGGGAAGGATGGCAAGTTTCAGATGCTGGTGTGTCTTGGAGCCAGGTATAAAGAAACTTTATTATTATTATTGTTGTTGTTGTTGTTATTACTATTATTGTTATTACTGATATTTTAATAAAATGAAAAGGATGTGGCATATTGGTAAGATAAAGCCAAACAACTGCTGGGTTGTGCAGTTTGACTATTACTTACACAGTTCTTTGATGTAATTAAAGAAGGATCAAGTGAACCATGCCCTGACTGAGTTCTTAGGCATGTGAAGTGTGGGAAATCTGAGATACAAAACTGCATATCCCAAAGAGCTGAGCAGCTGAATCAAGAGAGAAAGGTAGTAGGCTGGTGTGAATAGCCTCCTTCTCATGTACTGCTAGCGAGGTCGGAAGATAGAAAGAGAAAACCATCCATTAGTGAGGCCTCTCCAGTTAATGGCTGGGTGAATTCCCCACCCTCCACCTACTCATTGTAGGAGATGGGTAGGAGGGAAGCTGGGACCATCTAGAAGCCTCTTGACACAAAGGCAATGGAGCAGGCTAGTGACTTTGGGCCTGCTTGGGACTTCCAGGCCTCCTGGGAACCATATCTTTTGATGTGAGGGGTGGAAAGCCTAGAAACGCATCTCTCACGGATGCTCCCTACTTAAACAAGTTCCACAGACAGTTACTTCCCTGCGTTATAAAAATATGCGGAGAAGATGGTATGTCTGTTTAGAAGGCAAAGCATAAAAATCATGTCGGTGAAAATGAGAAATTAACTTGGCTTTATTTTTATTTTCAAATTGCAAATTGCCACTTTGTCAGAGACCACCTTTTGCATCACTGGATCGCCTTGCTCGCAGACTGCCCGATCACAGCACAGATGTATGAAGACATAGCACTGATTAAGGATCATACTCTTGTGAATTCTTTGATTCGAGTGCTGCAGACCTTGCAGGAGTTCAACATTACGCTGGAGGCATCTCTTGTCAAAGGCATCGATATTTGACCTCTTGTCCCACAGAAAAAACTATCTTTTTTTTAAAAAAAAAAAAAGCAACAAGGAGTGAATCTCATTAGTATACAAAAGTTCTGTCTGCCAGTACATTGTATCGTGAACTTGTTCATGGCCCTAAAATGCAACTTTTGACTTTTCTTGAAGGAAACTCAAAAAATAGTACAGGCAAATGGATAGAAGCTGTAAACTCAATGTAAAAAAGAGGATTTTGGTATAAATCTATTTTAGAGTTTATTTGCTGATTTGCTTTTTACACACTTTCATGTGAAAGAGATAGAGATGAGTATTGTGCAGCTTATTTTAAAGCTGCAGTATTTCCTTGCCATAGAAAATGTGCAGTGAGCCTTTCAGCATTCTGTGAACTTGCCTTCAGATATGCTGTATGTCATAGACCCCAATACACTCCATTTCTGCTGAGAAGGTCATTCTATAGTTTTTAAACTAATATTTTATATATTAACATTATTACCAATATTTGATTTTTAATGTATCGGGTCATGTTCTGCTGCAAGGGAACTACAAATCTGATGTGTGCTTTTTTTTTTAATAGCTCCAAAGCACTGATTTGTCAACAAATCATTTTTTCCTTTATTTTTGTTGTCAGTATTATTTTTAGTGAAATCCAGGAGACTGAACCGTGAAATGTGCAGAGATCAAAGTAATATTTTTCATATTGGTACGTAATTGCACAGAAGAAATTAAGCGTGTTTTTTAACTGATGTTTTTTATTTATTTAACCTATCATTGTGTTTTGTAAGTTTGTCTTTAAAAAAAAGATCTTCTATGATACAACTGGCTATATTATGTTGCAATTCAGACTTTACAGTGCAGCCCACTTAAATGAAAAACCTGGAATAATTGTTCATAACACAAAAATGTTTCCACTTGAACCAGCCTTTTGAAGTTTGGTATATGGTTGCTGCTGGTAATTCTCTTAACTGCTAATAAAGAGGGGCATGAGTTCCCCAAATGCCAGATGACTACATAAAGATGTTTATGCCCCCACAAAATAATAATGGTATACCTTACTAACAAATATAAGGATTTCTTAATTCTTCTGAAAAGACAGCAAGTAGTAAGGTTTTTTTTTTTCCTTTTGAATGATGATGTCTTGGGTCCTGTTGTCACAGTCTGCTTCATTTGGGATGCTTTTGTTTTTAGCAGGGAAGGCTTTAGTCCACTTCTACAATAAAACACAAACTTTTGAAAGCTTAATTTATTGGAGATCTGGAACTTGGCAAATGCCTAAAGGCATCTCTGTTCGTTTGAATCCTCTGATAAAAATCTCTTTGAAGTGAATATGTGACTTAAGAACAGGCTGATTTATCAGCATCACAAATTACTGTACAGATATTCAGGGCTATGTATTTAAGAGGTCTCCACTGTATAAACTTATCTCAGTATTGTCTCTCTTTTGAGGAGCAGAGTCCAAGTTTTTTGGTTCATACAATGTTGTAGCACCTTTTCTTTACCTACAGCTTAGTCACATCTTGTGATAGTTTTATTTCCATAATTTATAAGTATAGCACATGTATTAAATTTTTGAGTATTTTTACTTTTGTCCTATTTATTTCATTATTAAACTGAGAAGTTCCTTTGTCACTACTAATCAGAGCAAGATTCTTTTTTGATTTCACAGTAGCATTAGGAAGATGCAAGGGCAATGTCCAAGCCACTCCTCATTCTGGGTGGGTGTGAATTCTTTCACAGTCTGGAGCTTACAGGAGCATTTCACAGAAGTATTTTGTATGTGCAGGTTTGGTTTTGTTCATTTTTTCCATCTTTGCAAGGGCAAAAATAAAACAGATGTACTTTATTCTAAGAATTTCATGTATTCAACTTAATATGTTGGGATAATCTTTACATGCTTGCCCCAAATTGCTTATTTATGTATTAATAATAGCAAAAAAAAAAATTTTACAGTGCTTTCAGCTATATTTAAGACAACTTTACTAGGCCTGTGTATTTCACAGGGAATATGTCTACATAAGAAAGGAGGGTTGAATTAATTATTTTGACCTTAACAGATTAGTTGATCCTGTTAAAACCGTATCTGTCATAGTATGAAGTATGGATTAATTTTATCTTGCATGAGGTAATAACCTTGAATTAAGTTTGGTGGTGGTTTTTTTTTTTTTTCTCCTTTACGTAAGTTCACCTAGTGTGGCATGATGCCATTGGTTTAATGGCTTGCTTTGATGTGAATCTTTTTGGCCTCATTATGACAGTTAGCGATACCTGGGATGGACACAGGCTGGGCTTTGCTGGTTCCCAAGTGGTGGGTTCTTCGGCTAGCACATGAGGATGAAGCTGTCCATCAGTGACAGCACCCTGTTGTGCTAGCTCTCCAGACGCAAAAGGAAGATGCAGAGGTCATCTTCCCAGCTCCTCAGTTACTTTATTTTCACAGGAAAGACCTCTTTGTCATAGACCCTTTCTGCTTCTCTCACAGGGGGGACTATGCTTAATCCCATTAGGATTCAAAGCACTTTTTGGTATGGACTTTTGAGTCTCGAAGATTTGCTCCACTGAAGAGCAGTAGAAGGTTCTGAAATGCAGCAGAAAAAATGTTGGTTTTGTTGAATCCAGAGGCCACCAAGGAAGACTGAGATACTAAATGTAGCTCTGTGCTAGCTGTAGCTGTTCCCTGGTTTTGGGAAGAGATTTGGCTGATGTATCCAAGAGCAGTTCAGTCTGTAGTAGCAGCCATAATCCCTACCACTCTTCAGTGTTTACCACAAACCAACCTACTTCTTTCATTGATGTAGCTAGCATCAGTCCCACAGAATAACGTTAGGATCCAGCATTTGCTCCTTCCATGCCATTCTGCTGATTTGGATGACTCTATATAAGAACAAATGGTGCAGTCGGCATCTTTTACACTTTAACTAGAGCTTTGTAAAATCCATTTCCCTTTTTAAAACCTGCATTGCATTTTTTGTTCAGAAATGAGCTATAGAATAATGCAATTGTAACTTTTTTTTCCCCCCTGTTACTTTTGTAAAATACGGGAGCAGATTTGGTAGGTGCAGGTTAATGTGGCTATGCTGTTTTGTTGGTTTGTGTGTTTGGTTTTTTTTTTAACAGTTAATGGGAAAAGATAATCTTTTTTTAACAGCAGACATGCATTCTGTAGAGAGAAATATAATGATAAAAAGTAGTAATTCGTAATGCAGTAAATATATAGTGCTAAATTGGCCAAACGTGTTTACAGGCTGATACCTGATTTGAGGGGAAAAAACAGGCTATCACCTATTAATTATTTATGCTTCTTTGATTAATGCTGTCAGAGTTGATACAATGATACTTTATACGAAAAGAAAATGCAAATTAATAAAGACTTGTTTTAAATGTATGAAATACTATGATGATAAGTTTATACAAAAAATAGCCTTTACTGCCATAAACTTAACCATCTGACATTCTGTAGCTGAAAACATACTCATGAACTGAAGACTATTCCACAACTTTTTCCATTATGAAGAGTATTTTTCAAATTGTTCAAATGGGACCTACTAGCCGGATGATCCATATTTTTGATGTGTTTTGAATTCATGAATATGTTAAGGTTTCTGCAGTGAAACTATTCAGAGTTAACTTTTTCTGTATGTTGTCAAATGATTTTTGTCCATAGTGCAAGATCTATAGGATACTTGAAAATACTTGAAGATATTGTACTTCACATCTTTGTAGTTCTTTATTTTATACCTAGAGATTGGCTGTTAAACTAAGATAGAGCATCAATATCTTATAAACTATATATTTTACTACATGGGGAAATCACTGGTTTGTTTTTTTTAAGGGCGGGTGTTGAAGTTTACATTATAATGACAAAACCAGGTACTGTTTTCCTTTTTTATTTTTCCTGTGACATTTCAATCCATTGGACATTAAATGTGAATTGGATATACAAAACAGTTTTACAGATGTAGCTCATTTGCTGAATTGCAATAAAATTTGTCTTCTAACATGAGAAATAGCATTAATGTGCTATTTTCAAAAGCCTCTTATTATAATTTGGCCAATCATCTTTTCTTCTTTGCCTGACTGCAGGTATGTATGACATTTTAGTGTCTGATTTCAGGAGACCTTTTTTGTACAGTTTTGTATCTGATCTGTTCAACTAAATGCCTCCTCCCTACCAGTGTAGCCTTCTTGCAAGCGATTGTTGTCGATCAGACTGCCATCAGTGGAAGAGATGCCTACTCGGTACTCAGGGAATGGGGAGAACAGGAAGGCAAAGGGACTAATGCAGATCTTGGAAGGTATCTGTGAGTACACACACATATATGTGCTGCCATTTATATTAGCTTTTTTCCTACCTTAGAAAAACTTTTGATACCAATAACCAAATTTGGTGGAGGTCTCCAAATTTTATGTTCTGAAAAATACAATTAGTCACCTCTATGTACCATGTACTCAACCTTTCTCTTTATGTGAGAGGATCCATACAGAGAAGCAGGAATTGTTGGAAGTGTAATTATCTGATGCTTCAAATATAAGGTTAAGTGAGAAAATAGCACTGTCCTCCATCTCTGAGACTCTGACAACATCTGTGGCACACATGCGTGCTCAAGCATTATTGCCTATATTGCCTGTTTCCTGCTTTTTTTACCCCATCTTTGCCCAGGGTAAGATCTAACTGGACAGATAGTCCCAGAGGAGGAATTATTGGGTGGAGGGGTTGTACTGGCACAGAGGCAAAAGTACGGTTCCTTCCCTCTCCATTCATTCACTTTTTTTAATGACTTGAAGTACATACCAATGTAGTGGAGCCCTGTATAATCTTGGTTCATTAGATATTGCTCTGCTTACCTCACCTTGAAATTGGTTCTGCCTGCCTTATTGTATCTTAAATCTAGTTTTTAGATTTGAGTGGAGTAGTAAACAAATGTGAGCGGAACTCATTTGTGGTTATGCTTTTCTGCTGCCTGAAAGTTTTATATGTCAATTGTGTGAGAAGCAGGGAGACCAAGTCACTTCTACTCACTTTCATCTCCTGCTTCATCCAAAATGCACTTGCCAGGACATCCCTGCTTGAGCAGGGGGGTTGGAGAAGATGACCTTCAAAGGTCCCTTCCAACCTCAGTCACTCTGATTCTGTGGTTCCTCCCCACGTACAATGACAGGAACAGGTAAGAAGGCTGAATGCCACTTCCCCCATGTTGTATGGTTTCTGCCATTCCTTAGTAGCCCAGCATCTGCAAAACTCATCCTTCAGGTGCAATATTCTTCCTGTGTTTTGGGGAGCTGCCCTCTCTTTTGTCAGCTATAGCCGGAGAGCCTCTTCTTCTGATCTGCATGTTAACAGTGGCTAACTTCTGCTTTGACAAATTTCTGTTTTGAAGCTGACAAATACAGAAGGTAATTTTCTCAGTCTGGGAACAGTGGTTCACGTTAGGACTATTCTGAACTTGGTGGGGTTCACTCTGTGTCAAACTGTATGAGGTCATCATTGGATGTTTTA